GAGAGGTTTGGGATAGGTGCATTGTTTGGGCAGGCAGTGTAATTCCCACCCTGCCCCACCTCTGCCAAAGCCAAGTGGTTTAGGGGAGGGTAAAGAGGCGACCTCCAGGCGGTAAAATACATCGCTCTAAAGTAGATGCAAGAGCTTGGTGGTGCTTTGGGTCATGCTTGGGATGAGCATCCTGAGCAGGAGCAACCTGATCTAGTTAGCAGTGTCCCTGTTCACTGCAGGGGGCTTGGACTAGATGACCTCTAGGGGTCCCTTCCAATCCAAAACATTCTATGATTCTATAAAAGCAAAGGGATTTTTAATTAAAAAAAAAAAAAAAAGCTGCAGAAGAGAGGCAGGTACCAGGGCAGTGGGGACCCTGGAGGACATTAATCAGGGGTGGCTGAAGGACACATGCCAGTCGCTGCTGGACATGATGCCCCAGGGAATCGAAAGGAGGAGTGAGCCCAATGCAGCCTTGCGGCAGCATCCACTGAAAGTCCTGACTTGGTGAAACGTGCCCGTGTCCTGTTAAAGTCTTGCAAAACTTAGGGAGGGAAGGGAAGCACCGACTTTCCATTTTTTTTTTTGTATTTTGTGGGGGATGTTCTTGTTTTACCTGTTGGCAACATGCATGCTAACCTGGCCCGTGGGGCGCTCGATGCAGTACCGATGGCTGGTGGCTCCTTCTGCCCTACCTTGTTTTATCACCTATTTCTGGCAAAACTGCCTTTTCTTTTTTTGAGGAGATCTGACTGGGGAGCAGAGCTGAGTCCTGGTGGGTACTGGCTGCATTTTTACTTTTGGGGTGCCTTTGTGTCCTACTGGGGTTGAAGCCTTGATGTCCTTACGTTTAATCCGTGTGAGCTCAGGGTGCCGCTGCTGAGAGCAATTTGTGAGTGCCAGGCGGTGCGTGGACTCGCAGGTAAACGGCTCCTTTGCTTGGTGCCAGCGTACTGGGGCGCCTGCATCTTGGTCTGTGTTAGCAGCAGGTTTTGGCTGGAGAGGAGGAGGTCTGGAGAAGTGGTAAAACTCCCCTGGGGTCAGCTGTGGACCCCCTGGATGCCAAGCCACTGGAAGCTGGATACAAAATCCTCCTTTTCCCCTTGGGATGGGAGGAGGAGTGCATTTCACCTGAAAAGCAGGGCCAGAACAGCATCTGTGTGCTGTGGGGGGACTCGAGGTTAGGAGACTTGTGTGATTTTATGCACACTAAGTGCAGGTGAGCATTACAGCCCCAATTCTTGCTCTGTTTTAATGCCATTTTTCAGATGGGCCGGCAGTGCAATGCATTGGAACTGCCCTGTGCCGGGGGGAGAGCCTAAAGGGCTGCCTGGGGGACTTGGGAGCTTTGGGAGACCCCATGGTAGGGACAGGGCACACTGCAGCTCCCTGTTACCCTTCTGGGCTGCCAAGGCCTTTGCTGCAAGGTAGAGGGGTCCAGGTTTGGGGGAGGCAGCCCCAAGCACCAGGTCAGTCCTGACGGCTTCGGCAGGGGATGCTCCTGCAAACAGGAGCTGCTGGGAGTTCGCATTCCCCTTGGCCTCAGCCCTGAAGAAAGCCTAAAGCCTCAGTCAATAATAAGCTTATAAGACAGTAAATCTTGGTAATGAGAAAAACAGAGGACGGCATCTGCTCAACACGGTGGTACTGTGTATGGTCTGGTAAACAGCTATTGAAATGAGTTGCCTGTTATTGCTGGGGTTACAGCTGAAAAGCCCAATTTCCCTGCCAGATCAGTAGGTTTTGCTGCTCCCAGCCCTCCGGGGTGGCTGCTGGAATCCTGTGGAGGCTGAGCGTGGGGAGAGGTGACCTGTTGCCTGCGAGGGCTATTTGCTTGCCCACATGCACGGCAGTCCCCACCGTAAAACCAAGGGCAAGAGGCCATCCTCCTGCCCGTGTGGAGCCCAAGATGGGCAATGAGACGGGACCACCACAGCGGTTGTCGTCTTTACCTCCTCCTCCTGTGCCCCCTCCAACGCCTCCTTGCAAGGCTGTGCTGGGAGATGTACACGCTTTGGAGGGTGCTCTGCAGCAAAGGGGGGATGGGGTAAAAATGGGAAAACGGTTTCTTCTCTATCATGTCTTCAGAGATGCTGAAATGAGACGATGGGCAACAGGCGCCCGAGGATAAATGAGTTGTGTAGGGGTCTCCAGGGAGAGGAAGGTGCTGGGTCTTCATCTGACATCCGCTCGGATGAACCTGGTGCCTATGGGGTAGGAGCTGGCAGTGGTCCCGGTCCCACTCAAACTGTGTGCAGCCAGGTCTGCAAAATGGGGAGGAAGAGGAGGGGAGAGTTTGGGGGAAGGAATCTGCATACGGTGTGTAATGCTTTTATGAATTGGGTCTTTAATAATTTACATTACCAGTTTAATACTTTGAATACAAATTATCTTGCCCATATGCTGTGCTGACAAACATAAAAATGGAGTAATCAAAGCTGTAATAGCACTACAGCAAAAAGACATAAAATGCCACTAGAAGGCTTAGGATAAATTATTGCATGCACACACTAGCTCTATGGCTCCCTGGTGCCAAAGGATGCATTGCAATTTCTTCCTCAGACTTTGCATTTGAGCTTGAGGACTGGTGCAGTACCAGGAGTACCGCCTGAAATTCTGCAAGACGGGCAGCGTTTAACAAAGAGGAGGAAAGAAAAAAGGTTCAGACTTGTTTGATAAACACAGCAATTTAAATTCTGCTCTGGCATTACATGGGCTGCAAAGAAAATATAGCTCTCCTATTTGCAGGGAGCCCCCTTCTTCCTCCAGCAGGGTTATTTGCATGTATTATAAACTGCAGTGTTGGCTTGCCATCTTCAGGCAGCTGCCACGCACTGCACAGCATCCCTGTGCGTCCCCTGTCCATCCCTGTGCTGGCTGGAGGTGACCGGTCCAGCCTGGGTGCCACAAGGGATGCCCAAGGGCGGATGCTCGCCGCAGCCTGGCACCAGGTGACCCAGGCAATGGGCAGCATCAGTCCAGGGAAGACACGAGTTTCACCTCATCCCTCTTCATACCTGTGCTTGCTCCCCTCTAATGTCCAAGCTCCGAGGGGCTGGGGAAGGTGGGAGAGGACAAACCAGCCCCAGGTCCTTGGTGCTCACTCCCGGCCGCCCTTGGGCCGCAGTTTAGGTGTGAGGGAAGGGTATGGGTGGGCGTGGGAGTTGGTGAATGCTGCAGGTGACTCGGTGCTTTGCTTTTAGCAGCCTGACACCTTTTGGTGCACGGGTGCTGGTATACTGAGCATCCCAAAGGGCGTGGGGCTGTGCAGGGAAATGAGCAGGTTTGCAGAGCAGAGATGCACGTTGTGCTCACAGGGGAAAGCTGCTGTTTGCAGATGTCAGTGGACTGTGTATTGTGGCTTGTGGCAAAGTCCCTGCTTTTAAATACCAGTCTATTCATTGGTTCCATATCACAAAGACATCCCCCCTACAAGCTAATCTTTCACAGAAAGAGCCATTTAAGGCTCACATTTGCATACACTGAATTTCTCAGCTATCAAGGTTACTCTGTGCTGTAATCCATTCTGTGCTTCTAATATGATCAGTGAAAAACGAGGCCTCTTCCCAAACAAATCATCAGCAATAGAGGGAATGGCGCTTATCCACAAGGGGTGAGGCTCTGGTGGTAGCAACTTCTTTCCCAAAAGGCAGAGAAATTGGGGCAGGCTCATTCTGCACTGCTATGCTGCCTGATCTTGCTGCCAGTCACCCCAAGACCCAATCCCCTCACACACAAATGCATTTTTCATACCTTTGCCACTCCCTGGATCTGCTGCCAGCTGCCTCCCTGGGATGTGGCGGCAGCGGCTGGGGCGCCGTGCACCCCGAGGGCTAGGGTTGCCCATCTTCAGCTCATCCATTAATGCACGTGTCGGTGCACACACACATGTGTAGTGGGCTGAGGGGAGAGGAGAGGGTGCCAGTGTTTGGGATCCTGCATCCTGGCGAGGTGGGGCACGCCCACCCTGCCTGTCCCTGTGTACCACCTTGCTCTGTTTGTCATGCACCCCAAACCCAGCTCTGTGCCCCCCAAAGCCTGGTTTTGCCCATGAACAGGGGGTTTTGGAGGAGCCCCAGGTGCTGCAGCCCCACTCCATCCCCTGGTCCTGGCAGAGCAGCCCCGTTATTGCAGCCAGGCATGCCATGGCACTGAAACCCTCGGTGCAAAGAGGTACCCAGAGCCTCTTCTGCCAGGGGCGATGGGGGCTGCCTGGGTGGGTAAAGGGACCTGTGTGAGCCAGGATGGGGAGGTGCTGGTGGGCATCCAGCCCCCACTGGAAGAACTTTTCCCATTGCCAGGTCTTCTGGAGAATAATGCCCTAACTGAGCCTTTTGCTCTGCAAATAAATTGGATGGATCAAGACCACAATGAGAAATATCCCCATCCTCATCCAGAGGGGGATTTTCAGCATAAAAGGCTTTATATGACTCATAAACTCTAACATTTATTTCTGCATGCGAGGTAAATATTTCCCCCTCTGAATGTCTAAGCAATGCAATTCTGTCTGAAGCCTCCATTTGTTTAAGTCTGGAGGTGACAATAATTCACCTGTTTTCCCTTCCCGTGATTCCCCAAGCAATGGCGTAAGCCAAAATAGAGCGAACTCAGCTCTGGCTGTTTGTCACTTGTCAGCTCCCTCCCTCAAATACGCTCCGATGAGCTTTGTCCCGGGGTTTACGTTCGGGCACCTCCTGATCTCTAGCTGTTGGTAAATGGCCCCATGTTTTCCTGTTCCGAGGAAGAAATACAGCACACCTGTATGCAGCCGCTGCCAGGGCAGGCAAGAGAGAGAGACATAACTTAATTTAACTCCAGATAAATCATGATTTCATGGCGATCTGCCTGCCACAGGCCGTTGAGAGTCCCATCTCCTTGGCACTGTAACCATACTTGTCACTCAATGTCCCAAAGAGACCCGCTCGCAGCCAGAGATCATAGGTGACGGAGAAGATGCCTGGAGTTGTAAACACCATCAATCTGAAGAAAACAAACATGCCTGGGAGCCGATGGCGGGTGAGGATGTGCAAAGGCAGTGCTTGCCTCTGCGGAGGATGGGATGTGCCCACGGGCCGCGCGGATCCCCAGCCTCCAACCTCCCCTGGCTCTGTTGCCACCCAAAGCTCCCGCAAAGCTGGGGACGCAAAGCACTGCCTCTCCTCTTCCCTGGGGGGGTTTGGATCCCTGGCTTTTTCCCCTGTGTAGCCCTCAGCCCCTCTCAGGGGGGACCCAGGTAGGGGTTAAACTGCTGCGGGGCAGAGGCGTTGGGGGGTGGCCTTAATGCACCGGCTGCTTTTGCTCTTCAAGGGAGATGAAGGAAGGATGCTCCTGTTTCCGCGGTAGTTGCGGCTCCTGGGCGCTTTCTGCTGGAGATTTTCACTACAACCATGAAGCTGTTCAGCCCCTGCCGGGGGTCAGAGAGCCCCAAACGTGGCCTCGTTGCTGCTTAGAGATGTCCGGTGTGAGAGCGATGGGTGGCTGTGCTGCTGTCTGGCTGTGCAGCACCGGCAGGGGTGCAGCCCTGCCACCCCCCAATGAGCGGGGCTCCGACAGGAGCGGGAGGCTGCTTTCAAGAGAAGTGTTTGAATTTTATCTTTAGTTCCCCATCTCACAGGCAGAAACCCTCAGTGTGGGCAGAAAGCCCCTGTCTTGTGCCAGCACATCAGGTCTCAGAGAAGTCTCCCACCGCAGCACCACCAGCAGGTTTGCAGTGCGGGAACCTCACTTTGCTTTCTATCCTTTTTGGTACCCCTGTGCCTTTCCTGGCTTTGGCGGCATCGCTTCTGATTTACAGCTGGTGTCACATGAAATCTGAAGCAGGCACTGTTCCTCCTGCCCTCTGCTCGCCTGCTCCCACCCAGGGCTCTCCTGCTCCCCCTGGCTCCTAACGCTGCTCCCTGGGTCCCATCCTCGAGGATGTGTCTGCATCCAAGCCTAAACTCAATGCTAACGTGCACAGGCAGTTTCCTTTTCTGTCTGCCTTTCTTTCTTCTCTATTTTTTTTAAAGGAAACGGAATCCAAGGCTGCCGTGTAGTGATGATGATATTGTTAGTAGTTATTTCTATTTCCATAGCTCCAACAGGCAGAGAACAGAGTCCCACTGGGTTAAATGCAGCACATGCTATAACAAAAAGACAGTCTGGGTGCCAAACAACTTGCAATCTTCTTCTTAATGTAAGGAATGTAAAATTAAAATTACTATAGCAACATCTTGCTCACATTGCATACAGATAGGATTTGTTGGTCTTTATGTGTGTGTGTATATATATATATGTAACGTACATATACAAACCCTAAATATCTCTGGCAACATTTTCCATCATTGAATTTATATTTAATTTCAAGGTCTCTCTATCTCAGATGCGTATTGGTCCTCAGGATTTGCATCCAGCTTCCCTTCAGCAAGCCTTGCCACCTCCTTTGGGCTCTTCTGCACGTGCTGCCTGCCAGGCTCGAGCCCCCTCCGCCTGGGGAGAGCGCTCGGCCCCTGGCCAGGAACAGGGACAAACCCTGGCTGGGGGATTCATTCCATCTATCAGGGGCTTAATTTTAAATGTATACAACCCTGTTAAACTTCATAACTGACTTAACATCTCTGAATTTGCTTTCCTCAGATTTTAGGGGAGTGGGGTGAACCCAAGACATGCAAACCCCTCTTTTCCCATCTCTCTTCTCTCAAGTTATTAGTTCAAGTGAAATTTCATATGAATTATGAACCACAGCTCTCACTTCCCCTCCATGACTGAATAAAACCTGGGCCCAGAAATCCCTGGGGAAGGGCAGAGCATACCCAGGAGCTGGGGGAAAGGCAGGGGGAGGACGGACGCACCTACAGTGCAGCGTTGCTTAAATTCTCCAGGAAAGCAGCAAAAATTCAAGCACAATTTTCCCCTTGTCGCAGAGGTAAGCGGAGCTCCTGATAAAGAAGAGTTTTGACGTTGCCAGATCTGAGGAGCTCTCTTGGCTTACCAGCCTACAATCGTGTAGGAGGGGAAAACCAGGCACCAAACTGAGCTGAAGAGATCTGAAGGGTACTGCTCTCTGCCGAGGGAAGATGCCTCGGAGGGATACCCATTCCTCGAGAGAAGTGGGAGAAACTTGCGGCTCGTTTGTAACAGCTTTGGGGCCGCAGAGTCGGACGCACGCAGTTGGAGGGCTGGTGGATCTGCTGTTCTGAGACCAGACTGTAATGGAGATCTGAGAACCAAAACTGAAAACGTCTGCTGGCAGGTCTGGATGGAGGAGCTGGAAAGCAGCCTGAAGTTGCCAGCTGCAGGTTTCTGGTGCCTCTCGCTTAGCGGTATTAAATACAAAGAAATAGATCGTAGGCAGCTCTGCCTGTGGGGGCTAGGAGGAAAGTGAGGGGGCTGGGGCGAGGCGGGTGAGCAAACCCCGCTTCCCAGTGGATCTGTGGGGAAGGCAGAAGTGGAAAGGTGAAGAAGGGATCTGCATGGCATAGAGGGGCCAGCTTTCAAAGCCCACCCAGGCAAACACCATGGCTTTTCTTCAGACAGAACTGCTCGATGAGCAGGAATCGATAGCCTTCTGCAGAGCCTGCAAAATTGTTGATGGGTGTGAGTGTGCTGAGCTGATGCCAGGTAGGAGGCTTCTGGATGGAGCTATTGAAGAGTTGGGGAGGATGGGAGTGAGCACAAGTGAGGCTTCACACGTATGTTGGGTGTTGGTGTGGACCTTACGGTGATGGGCTGAGGGTACGAGGACAGCTGAAGATGGGACCAGGCAATGGACGGTGGGTTGAAGACCAGTGGGAGTTCACGAGCACCAATGTATGAGAGGGCAGAGCAAAGCGAGCATTGTGAGCTGGGCGCTAGGCTTGTTTGCTGCCAGCAACAGGCAGGAAAGCTGCTCCCGCGCTGAACCGGCCCCAAACCAGGGCTGACCTACAGGCAGGAGAGACATCGCTACCTCCTTCCCTCCCCAAAGGGAGGAGTGAGGGCGGGGGCAGGGGGGCTGTGAACCTGGCCCGGGAGGAGCCAGCAAGGTCTGTTGGGTTGAAGAAACCATGTCTGAGACCCTTGGTTAGAATGCTCACACGCTTTCTCATCCTTTGCCCAGGAATGGGAACCCATTGGGACAAGAGGCTGTTTATGGTGCTCAGCTGCAGTTTAACCACCCTGGACTTCCCCGGGTAAGGGCAGCCACCGTGGGCAGCGTGAGCACCGGTGCCCTGTGCTGGGTGAAGGTTTGGTGTGCAACCTCAGCCCCGGGACCTGGTTGCTCACCCCTCAGAAATCCTGCAGGGCTTTGCAGGTGTGCCGACGTGTCCAGTGAAACTGGGGCTTTTGGTAGGAGTATGGTGAGAGGGGGGGGATAATTTCCCTTTCCCCAAGGTGTGCCAAGTTTCCCAGCTGTGGGACCCACACTGCTGATATGTACCAAAGCGATAGCCTGAGAAAAGGGCATCTCTTCATTGGGGGCGGGGGGAAGCTGTGGCTTTGGAGGCCCTGCAGCCCCTCTGTTAACCCCTGCTGCACTTCTGCAGGGGCAGGTAGGGGCCACATGCTCCCCACCCCTGGCTCCTTGGCACTGCCGTGCCGGCCGTGATCACCATCGCCCCCACGCCTTTTATTTCTCCTGACCTCTGTGTTTCTATCGGCTGTTTTTAAGCACGCCTGCCACCAAGGCTGTAATCGGTTCCTGTGTACTCCTCTGTGTGCTTTCACCCAGCAATTTGTGCAGGGCTGTCGAGCTCTCTGCTCGTAATTGGCAGGAGAAAGCAATCCACTTCACGAGAGGAAACGTCTCCACCGGCTGCTGGAGCTGAGCAGGCTATTTCCCGTAATGAGGATGAAGCAAAGCAGGGTCTCGCTACCAACTGCTGATGTAGCTGAGCCCCCAGCGCTGCAGGCGCAGAGGTGCTGCTTGGGACGTAATGAAGAGCTCGGTATTTGGAGTGGAGCGGGTTGCGCTGTCCGTCCTGTGCCGCTGGCTCGTGATGAGGCAGTAAGTGCCCAGTGCTCCTGAAGTCGCAGCTCCCACAAGTCTGGCTGCAGGAGGGGCTGCTGGGGGAAGGGGAATCTCCTTGTTTTCTTCCTGAAGACAGTTGTTTCTCCCCTTGCATGGATGACCATGGCAATTTCAGCCTTAGCGTTGGAAAGCAGCTGCTATTGGCACTGGATTTTGACAAGAGTGGCATCAGCTATGAGTGTCCCCCCAGTGACAGTGCGGCTGGGCGGGTGACACAGGCGCCAGCGAGCCGGGCTGGCTGGACTCCAGCCAGCTTTGCCCCACGCCTCGCCAGGCTTGCACCATCCCCAGCTGGAAAAGCAGCTTGGACATAGTGCTGGGCAGCAGAGTGAGTGCTGGCAAAAAGCTTGCAGGTGGGTATGCATCCAGGTGAACCCCAGTGGAAATTGGGGATGGGGAAGGGGGGGATGAGGAGGAGGGAGTCCCCAGAGCATCTTGGCATTTTCTGTCTCACCTAGCCATGGGAGAAATGGTGCATCTGGCAAGCGATGCTGAATGTCTGAGATGCCACACAAACTTTTGGGGGTGTTGGAGAAAAGAGCAACCACCTCTGCTTGGGCAGTATCCATGGAGTGAAGAGCTTTCCCTCCAGGCTCTCGGGGGGGCAGGAACTGGGGCTGGATTTTGCCAGTCTTACCTCCTTGTGACCACCAAAAGGAGACCTGTAAGGAGCAGGAGTGGGTTTGTTGTTGGTTTTCACTGGTAGAAAAAGGGAGCGGATGAGAAATCTCAATGGGAAAAATATTAAGTGTTTTGGGGGTTCTTTTTGGTTTTTTATTTGTTTTTTCCTCCTGCCAGCCCAGGAGGCCTCGGTGTATGGGGGAAAGCTTTGCCCACCCTCACTTGAGCACATGCGCCATGGGGATGGTGTGAGGAGGATGAGCAGTCCTTCTTTTGCTCAAGTTAAAGGCAGATCTTGAAGACAAACAGGGCTCCCGTCCCACCGCTCCAAGGACCGGTCTGTTGTGAACCAGCTTTCCTTTCTTTGCTTTGCTTTCCTTTTTTTTTTCCTTTTCCTCTCCTGAGA